TTTGGCCCTGGCTCTCTCCCACAGGTCACCAGGCTCCATGGCGGTCTAGACTCTAGCAGGTTTCTCATACAGCCATGGGCAGCGAAGATCTGAAAGCGAGGAGACCACCTGGCATTTGATACGTGTTGCAAAATGTACAGGATCCTGGGGATTTGGGGATGGCATGGCTGACCGTGTTTCTGTCCCCTTCCCCACGCTCCTCCTGCCTCTGTGGGCATGGATGGCTTTGGAAATCCGCCCTGTTGAGAGGCTCAAGCAATGCTGAATGAATGTGTAGTCTGGTTAGCAGCTGTAGATGGTGCAAAATGGTACAATGAAAAGAACTATTATTAACTGAGCATTTGTTGGCAGGCACTGTGCAAAACGCCTTACATGTGCAGCCTCTCTAATTCTCATAACAAACCTACGTGGTGGGTATTATTCTCCACTTTATTGGTGAGAAAACAGGCTTTGATGCTTTAGACGCTGCTTGAGGTCACACAATAGTAACTTGAACAGCTGGAGTTCAAACCGCCCCAAGATATATCCTCTCAGCTAGTACACCGGGCACACCCAGAGGTCTTGTCAAGATGCAGACTCTCATTCAGTGGCTCCAGGACGGGCCTGAGGATCTGCATTTCCAATGAGCTCACAGGTGATGTCCATGCTGTTGGCCACGGGACCAAACTTTCTAAGTTTCTTCTTGCCTGCCAGCTCTAGTTGATTGATAGCAACCTCCTGCAGGTGGGTTAAGAAGCACTCCAAGGCTGTGTCTTGACTCTTGGGCAAAGGATTCTGCAACCAATTATCCATGTTCACTTTGGTTGATGGGGGGAAGGCTGAGACAAGTGTGCTGGATGTCCATCCCTGCAGGAGGCCACTTGGAAAACAGCATGTTTGTTACAGGAGAGGTTAGAGTGTAAATTTTAAGGTATTAATACACGAAAGACAAATGTCCTCATTCCTGTTCTTGCCCTCATTAAGAAAACCTTAAGTCAAAGTAAACCTAACATTTGTACAACACAAAACACTTTACAAAGTGCTCACATGAATAATGCTAACTTCATAACAACACTGTAAGGCAGGTCTAATTTCACTTTACAGGGAAGGAAACTGAAGTAGTGATTTTCCTGAGATTACACAATTAATATGCATGCAGCAGAGGCCAGGTTGTGACAGGTCTCTAGTTCAGGGCTGTTTTTATTTTACCACTGTATTCATTTCCTACTGATGCTGTAACAAATTACCACAAATCTAGTGGCTTAATACAACATAAATTAATTATCTTACTATTCTGGAGTTTCAAATCCTGAAAATATGTCTTACAGGACTAAAATCAGAGTCAGCAAGGCCATGCATTCCTTCTGGGGGCTCTGAGGGAAGAATCTGTTTTTTCCTTATTTGTGTGTGTGTGTGTGTGTGTGTGTGTGTGTGTGTTTCTTCCCAGCTTCTAGAAGGAGCCTGCACTCCTTGGCTTGTGACCACATCACTCTAACCTCTATTTTTATCATCTCATTTCCAGAAGTCCCAGTGAATTGGATATGGTTATTTTTGGAAGGTCATTATGCTTTCTAAAACTCTCTTAGATTTATCCTATAATTCCTACTGTGCCTTACTTATTCTCTTCTGCTTGATTTCTCAGACTTCTGGGAAGTTATTTCAATGGAAAAATTTACTTGAACGTCATTTAAGAGATAACAACAAATGTACACTGACAAGAAACACTCCCTAGGTCATGAAAAGGCCATCAGGATGCATGGGATTATAGTCCTGAAAAGGGCACATGGGATTAAGAGCTACTTATTGGTCTAAATGACACTGAAGTAATCCTTAGGGAAGTCCTAACCACAGTTAAAGGTGTTTGTTAGCAATATTACATAATTTTTCAAAATTTGCTTCTCAAGGATTACACTGCTCCATGATAAGTAAGGAAATTCAAAATTCATGCAAAATTGATTATATCACCAAATTCCAGAGTGAGAGTTTCCAAAGTAATGATGAACCTAAACCAGTGTGTCAAACAAAATCAATAAATATTATTAAACAGCCTTGAAGCTCAAGGTATTTATGGATTCTCATACAGAAGTTTATCCTTTCATTGGGGACACAGGATTTGTGAAAAAATGAAATCATGCAGGACTGAAAGAGAAGAAACAATAGGAGAAGCAACATGGGATGGTACATGATTTATTGCCAAGTGAATTATATAAAGTGAAAATTTTATTTGCAAGTTACATTTATATAGAGGAGTGGGGATAAAACTGGAAAGATAGGTTGAAAGGTCATGTTATGTCAAGCTAAGAAATGTCAAGCTAAGGAATTTAGACTTAATCCTCAATAATAATAATGATGATACCTTAGGTTCACATAGTGGTGAGTAATTTAACAAGAGCATTCTACATATTTTCAATCATTTGACTTCCTCCCTTCTGCCGCCAGACAAGCAGGCAAGTGCAAATACACGGGGAAGGAAGTACAAGGCACTTCGCAAAAGAGATTGTCTTGACCACTACGTTCTTGTAAAATAGCAGATCTCCTCCTCACTTACCTGCTGTTCCTTCTATCTTCCTTATCCCGCTTTAACATTTTCCCCACTGGACTTACTACTACTTTTTGATAGAATATATGTTTATTGTATGTCTACTATAAGGACAGGGACTTTGTCTCTTTTGTTCAATTGCCTAAAGCAGTGCCCAGCACTTGTTAAGTGCTCAGTAAATATTTGTTGAATGAACCATTATCCCCAATTTACAAATCGGGAACCAAAATACCAGATGCTTAAATGACCACCACTATGTCCTACAGCTGTTCAGGGCCTTTACCAAGACTAAAATCCAATGCCTTTTTGATAGTTTCCTTTCTGAGTGAAGTCTTGTTTAAACAAGGGCAAGAGCGTATTTTAAAAAGATAGGAAATGGACTCTAAATAGACAATCCGGGCATAGTTACAAGATGGTGGCATCTCTCTAAAAATCACACCCTTACAAACCACATTCAAGACAGTATAGGAAGTCCGAATAAGCCATCCCAAAATATGCCACCTTGGCATCATGATTCTTCTGAGATGGAGGCAAATGAGATTTAACAGATGCAGAAAGATGCCGTCTTAGAGCTTCCCTTATCTGACTAAAAGCAGGAACTGCTGCGAAACGAGGACAGCCATAATCCTCTCTTCCAGGGAAGATGGAAACGAATATGGGTCTAGAAAGAAATCTTGTTCAAATAACCCATGTCTTCCAGTAGGTCCCCCTTCCCACAATTTCCATCCCTCAAAGCCTATAACTCTTTACCTTCATCTGATCACTTCTCTACAAGTTTACTGTTCCTTGTTAAGATGCTATATAAGCCCAAATTCTGACCACCTTTTTGAGCTACTCATACTTAGTTTCTCCTGCATCTATGTAGGCTGCTCATGTTAATAAACTCTGTTTCCTTTTCTCTTGTTATCCTGTCTTTTGTCTAATTTGTTATGCCCTGATCAGTAACCTAGGAAGGTAGAGGGAAAAGGTGTTTGTTTGTTTACCCTCTACAATAGGAAGAAAAGAATTCCAGCAGAAAAGTGAATCTCTATTTTTTGTTGTTGTTGTTCATGAAAGAAAAAACATTTCCCAGAACTCACTCTCCTACTTCCAAGTCATTGGCCAGAATTTGGTCACCAAATCACTCAGGGAGGCTGTGAATGTGAGCACCTAGCAAGGAGGAATGGACTTGCCATGATTTTTCTAGGCCAGACATCCTGGTGCCCCGATCAAGACTGAGGTTCTATTAAGAAGAGAGAAGAAAGGTAGGCTCTAATATCATCTCTTTTCATGGAGAATCAGTATAGAAAGAGCGAAGACTCACATTAAGGTTCCATTTTGATATTTTCTGACTGTATCTGGATTTCTGGAAGACCATAGCAAGCCATATTAGGTTTCTATGTACTTTTCTCCCTCCTCTTCTCTCTCCCTCTCTCCTTCCCTGCCTCTTTTCTTTCTTCTTTTCCCCCATCCTCCTTTTCCCCTCCCCCACTCCTCACACTATATAATCTTCTGTAGCATCATTATTTTGTCATATTTATATTCTGTAGGTACTTAATCAATGCCCTAATGTCAAATACTTAGATTCTTCCCATTGGAAATACTTTTAAAGTTGGCTTGTTCAATTGAGTGGATAAGAGACTGTCAGTTTACTGCTTCTTCTACTCATGCCATCTCTTGTTACTCCCTAAATTCACATATCCCATTCTTACAATAATAATTTCTATAACACACTAATATATTGCTCTACAACACCATGGCTTTGCTTATATTTGAGCCACCCATCTTTCGCCTAAAATGTCTTTTCCTTATAGCCACTTATAAAATTCCTATTCATCTGTCAAAATCCAGTTTAGCTATCACTTCCTCTAGGAATCCTTGCCTGCATGACCCATTCCCATACTTAATTACTTCTTCCTCTGGGATACATCTATATTTGGTATTGATCTTTGTTATAGCTAAAATGCTATGTCATAATTGGTGTTTTCATTTATTTGTCTTCTTTCATAAACTCTGAATTCCATGAGAACCAAGTCTTTGTATG